TGAAAGGAAATCTCCTCAATAGGACACAGAGGGAAAAAAAACTGGTTATACCCCTCCTTACCTCTATCACCAATGAAAGAAAAACTAATATTAGAAATATACTTAAATGCAATGGCTGCATTTGTTTTTTTTTTTTTTTTTTATCTCTTTAATGCCACCTGGTGATCCAGCCGGTATAACACTTCCTGTCTTACCCCTGGTTCACATCTGTGAGGGTGGTGCCGCTGCGGATCCGCACAAAAATCCATGCAGCCGCACCAACCGCACAGAAGAATGCGGACCCGCGGGCGGGTGTCAATAATTCTAATGGCACACCGCCCGCACTGGAAATCGCAACCGTACTGGAACCGAGGTTCCTGTGCAGGCTGCATTTTCCGAAGAAGTGCGGTGTGGTATATCGCATGTGATTCGCACAGGAACTGCACCACATTCCTGTGCAAATCACATGCGATTTGTGTGCAGTGAGATTGGAGCCATACATTTTGTATGGCTCTAATCACACCGCACCCACACCAAAAAGGTGCAGGACCCTTTTTTAGGTCCGCACTAGAATCGGATCGCATGGGTATTCACATCTATACGATCCGATTCTGTACATCACACCGTGTTTTGCGGACCGATTTCAGGGTGTTGTTAACATACACACCCGCAGCGGTTCGCATGAACAGGGTGCAATTCTGATGCGGTGCAGAATTCACACAGAAAACGCTGCAAATTCCGGGCTGCATCAGTGTGAACTCAGGCTTAAGCTCCATTCACAACAACGTGTTTTTTTAGTGCTTTTTGCAGAAACACACTACAGGCCATTTAACATGGTTTCCAATGGAACATGTTCACATCTATGCTTTTTTGAGCTGCTGCATTTTTAGAAAGGGTCAGGGACTTTTTTTAAAAGCAAAAAGCAGTGTTTTTGCTACAATAGAGTTCAATGGAGAATCTGCTGAAATGCATGTAGTGCGTTTTTGCTGTGTTTTGCACTTTGCATTTTTATTCTACCCAGCAAAAAAAAAAAATTCCACTTAAAAAAAAAATGTTGAACAAAATGCAAAACGCAGTAAAAACACATCAAAAACACGTGTAAAAAAACACAAAATGAACTGTGAAAAGCACTGCAAAATGAACAAAGAGCAAACTGCATAGGTATGAATGGAGCCTAAATCTTGATGTACCTGTGTGTTTTTGTTTTACAAATTTACAAAACATTTTGGCCCCATTCACACTTCGCGTAGATCATTCCAGGTCGCGATTTTTTCACAATTCCATGTGTTGCACATAGGGCAGCCTATTAATTTGAATGAGCTGCCCTATATGCATTTGTCACTTAAAAGAAGCTCCTGCACCTTTTTTTGGGCAATGAGCTTCACGTGATTTTTTTCAGACATTTTTTGCTGCAATTTCTGCACATTTTTTGTTGTGCAATAATCACAGAAAAATCTCACGGTGTTTGATATTCCATTTAGAATGCATGGCACGTTGTGCATTTTGCCACAATTTTAGTGCACATTTGGAATTGCTAGGTGTGAATGGGGCCTTATTACAGAGTGCAACTACAGGCTATTTTCAGCCAAGCATATACTGTAAATATGTCACATTTACCCAATAAAGGAAAATCACTTTTCAGGTTTTTTTTAAGTCCTAACCACAATGAATAAAGAAAAGGAAATGTGTGAAAAAGCTCTCAATGTTCCCCTTAAAGATAACCTGTCTTCAATCTTGTCTGAGGATATTCAGATGATACAAGCTGCTTTATGGGGTTCCAGGGCAGCAAGGAGCCTATTCAGTATGAGGCAACTGCTGTATAGCTGAGATTGTGCCAGCAAGCCAACAATGGACGCTTCAATCTATGAATTCTGATGTCATGAGGATGTACTAGATTATCACTTTTATAATACATTTACAAAACATTTTGGCCCCATTTACACTTCACATAGGTTGTTCCAGGTCACGATTCTTTCACAATTCCATGTGTTGCACATACGGCAGCCTATTAATTTGAATGAGCTGCCCTATGCATTGCACCATCTCAGTTATACAGCAGTTGCCTCATACTGAATAGGCTCATCGCTGCCCTGGAACCCCCATAAAGCAGCTTGCTAGTCACTAAATGTATCATCATCATGTGCGAAGACATTCTTGTACTCTACATATTGGATGAAAAAGTGGGAATAGTCTATTGTGAGAGGCAGTAGATTGCTAGGCAACTGACCGCGTACCACGCTGCACAGAGGAGAGACGTGGGATAGCGTTACCTCTGGTTGACATCACAGAGGTAACTTAAGCCCTTTATATAACAGGAGTTTAAATGTCCGGCTACGTGGAAATTTCTCTACAGCAGAACACCAGCTATGTTTGTTTTTCAATTGTTCTGTGTCAGGATAAGTTTTTTTTCGCTCTGCAGTAAATGCTAAGCAAAGCAACGCAAGACTAAACTCTATTACGCAGGACATTGCCCAAAAAAAAAAAACTTAAAGGGTAACTCCACTTTTGTGGAAGAAAAATATAGCAAATAAAAAAAATAATATAGAATTTACAATTGTTACACAAGCATTTTCATTTTTTTCCATACATGTTTTTATTGGAAACACATGGTAGTAAGCATAGTTCCATTACATTGTCAAACAGAACAAAGATAAGAAATGTATTTGGAACTGAACAGGTGACATCATAAATCCACATCATGAAACAGGTTAGAAGAATGATACATCAAAACATGAAGAAAGAGGGTACACCGAGACATAGAAGGTGCATTTTTGGACTTGCGGTCTATGTTGGAAAACCTCTCTCTCACTAAGTAAGGCTCAGGAATAATATCCCATTTGGGAGGTATGCAACATGCTGTGTCATTTGGTCCACAGTATGTGGCCTATATTATTAAAGCTCTAGATGTAGACGGTCAGAGGAGAAAAAGAGAGAGAAAGGAAAAGGAAGGAGGGGTATGGGGTAGGAAAGCGGGAGAGAAAAAAAAAAAGGGGGGGGGGAGAGGAAAAATATGTTAAACTAAAATGGAAGGGTGAGTCAGCTCCTCCCCACATTGGTAGGGGCTTTGTAATATCTAAAAGCTTCAGGGAGGCTATTAAGACAATCAGCTGATAAACTCACATTTAGGAGCTGTTCAGCGTTTTTTCAGCAGCCCCTGAACTCTCCCTAATGTTTTCCTATGTGTCCATGTATACATCGTCATTTACAGGCAGTTGAGTTTACAGTCGTTTTTTTTAACACAGAAAACTTACGTTCAGGAGTAGATTTTATTAGCGTTTCAAACACCAAACACTTGTAAACGCGGCTAAACGCGGCTAACTGCATTTATAAGTGTTTGAATTTTTTTTAACTCTTCCATTATCAGATGCTGTCCACAGCCTTTTTTCATCATGAAAAATGCATGCAAAGTGATTTCCCATACTCAAATAAACCTGGTACACCATACTTTCAAGTTTCGCATGAAAGAAAATATGATAGACACCGCTGCAATAATTTCTGCACAGAAATGAGCTGGAACACATCCAAACACCAAAAAAAAAAAAAAACAGCTAATCTCAACAAATATTGCTCTCTCTGCTTCTGCTCTCTCTATTTATCTCAAAATGTCTGAAATAGTTAATTTTTTACTGTTTTTTCAGTGCATTCTGGGCATTTTGGAAGGTCTCCTGAGGTTATCTTTAAAAATGAAAACGCGGTATGCAAACGCGGCTAAACAGACATTTTTTAACCTACGTTTTCCAGCAGTCAGTTTCCATCGTTCAGAAGTGTCCTGTGTACATGGAGCCTAAGTACAATGCTATCTATAGTCATTAATGAATACAATTAAAGGTCCCTCAACCATAGTTCAGATAGATCTCAGTGGATTTAAAGTAGATCCAATTGAACGAAGTGGATGTAAATGTGTGCGTACGCTCCTGAGAAATGTGAATAAGCTTTTCCATTTCTTCAATTTTGTTCAATCTTGCAAACCATTCTCTGATTGATGGGACTCTGGAAGAGCACCAGTGAACTGGAATACACATCCTAGCTTCCTTCACCATGTGCATAGCTAAGGAACAAAGGTAATCCCTTCTGGATAGAGCTGTATGGTGAGGAAGATACCTGGCTGGGGTAAAATCTAAAGAGAGAGAAGTAACCTGAGTGATAATCCCATGAACTTCAGTCCAGAAAGTACACAAAGATTCACAACACCACCAGATGTGCAACATTGTACCTTCCTCTCTACCACATCTCCAGCACAAGTTAGAAGCTGTAGGATGGCATTTATGGAGCAGAGTAGGGGTTCTGCAGCACTTTGTCCAGACCTTGTAGCAGTTTTCCTGAACCGCTACATTCAAGGAACCCGCGTGTACAAAATCACTGATCTTATCCCTATCTTCATCCAGCCTTTTTCTTTTTAACCACTTCCAGTCCGGACACTTTTACCCCCTTCCTGTCCAGGCCAATTTTCAGCTTTCAGCGCTATCACACTTTGAATGACAATTGCGCGGTCATGCAACACTGTACCCATATGAATGTTTTACTATTTTTTTTGAGACAGATCAAGCTTTATTTTGGTGGTATTTATTCACCGCTGGGATTTTTATTTTTTTTGCTATGTAAATGAAAATGTCCAAAAAGTTTGAAAAAAAGTGTTTTTCTTATAAAATTTTGCAAATAAATAATCTTTCATCATAAATCTTGGCCGAAATGTATTCCATTATCTTTTTAGTAAAAAAAAAAAATAAGCCAAATTAGTTTATAACCAAAAATTATAATTTTTTAAACATTTTTTATATTATTATTTATGGGTTTATTTGGGGTTTTTTTTACATACTGTCACACTAGCAGTACAGTGTCACCATAGTGACACTGTACTACTTGTGGGGGGTGATGAAATTTTTTTTTTTTGTTTTTTTTTACAGTGATTGCTTTTACACCGATATAGGATGTAAAAGCAATCATTTCTCTTTCTCTCTGTCTGCATTCTTGCAGCCATCGAGAAATACTGAGTGAGCTGTGATTGGTCACAGCTTGTCACATGGTACAAGGCTGTTGTGAATAGCCTTGTACCATGTGACCTCTGTAATCATTTACAGATTTCACATGTAGTAAGCAATGATGTCACAAGTGACATCTTGCTTACTACTTTGCATGTGATCACTGATTGGCCTATCAGTGATCACATGATCGGGACCTCGTACAGAGGTCCCGTCCGACGATCGGTGTTTCACTGTGGGCACCGGATCGCGGTGCAAAATCGCAGGTGTCGTTTATGAACGGCAACCCGCCCCTGGAGTGCCACCGTCCTGCCGTTTATAAACAGCAGGCGAACGGCAAGTGGTTAAACTGCACTGCTTTAATTTTTTTAAAAATGCAATACAATATGGCAGCCTGGAGGCCTTCTGTACAACATTGATATACGGAATAACTCCAGAAATGTAATTTCCTGCTTGGGAGAAGAACTTTGCACTATGATACAGGTTTAAGGCATCCTCTGCAACAAAAATGTCATTTTTGTTGAGATACTCCCTAAAGGTTAATCACTTCTAAAGGACACAGAAACTGCAACTTTTCACATCAGAACTCTCAAAGTGCACCAGCTGATTGAAATGAATTTGTCATTCCTATTCAGGTATCAGTATTCCAAGGACATATTGAACATACAACTTTTTCTTCAGAACAGAAACAGGAAGGACAAGTTTTGATAAAATCCTTGAACAGTACATTGTTCACAAAGAGGGTATTGTTTTTTTCCTCAACAAAAGTGGAGTTACTTTTTAAAGCTGAAATGTATTGAATGCATATAAAAATACCTTCCCTTTTTGCCTTCTTTTAAAGATCATGTAATTAAAAATTTTCAGTAAAATCATTACTTGACCGCAGCAAAGAGTCTGATACCCAGGTTCTGGAAGAAAAGAGAGGTGCCAACTGAAGAGGATTGGATGGGTTGATTAAATCAATTTCAGGGACAGAAAGATTGTACTACACGCATGAGGACAAGTTGGAGATGTATAATAAAAAATGGAAAGGCTGGGAAGAATATAGAGAAAAGGTGAAATATATGAAGAGATAATATCCCTGGAAGTGGGTTTAGAATAGGGTTTAGGAATAACAGAATAATATGGATTTAATCAGAGAAGAGAAAATGTGGAGCGTGGGAGGGAGAGGGGGGGAGGGAAGGGGATAGGGGGCTAGAGGTGGGGGGTATGGGAGGGGGGGATGGTAAGAAAAGGAAGTTATATATAAATAAATTATATAAGGAGAAAATATGGTTTTGATAACTATTTTAATAGAAATGTTGAAATGATTTGTATATGATATGAAAAATTAATAAATATTTATAAAAAAAAAAAAAAAATCATTTTGTCTTAACCACTTCAAGTCCGGACACTTTTACCCCTTTCCTGTTCAGGCCAATTTTCAGCTTTGAGTGCTGTCACACTTTGAATGACAATTGTGCGGTCATGCAACACTGTACCCATATGAATTTTTTTTAGCAATTTTTTGAGACAGATAAAACTTAATTTTGGTGGTATTTATTCATCACTGGGATTTTTATTTGTTTTCCTATATAAATGAAAAAGTCCAAAAATTTTGAAAAAAAAGTGTTTTTTCTTATAGAATTTTGCAAATAAATAATCTTTCTTCATAAATCTAGGCCAAAATGTATTCAGTTATCTTTTTAGTAAAAAAAAATAACCCAAATTAGTTTATAACCAAAAATTATAATTTAAAAAAAATGTTTTTTTTTACATTTTTATTTAATTTTTTTATATGATTATCTATTTTTTTTTTCTTTTTAACATTTTTAACACCATAGTGACACTGTACTACTTGTGGGGGGTGATGAAGATTTTTTTTTTTTGTCACATTGATTGCTTTTACACCCATAAAGGCTGTAAAAGCAACCATTTCTCCTTCTCTCTGGCTGCATTCTTGCAGCCATTGAGAAATACTGTGTGAGCTGTGATTGGTCACAGCTTGTCACATGGTACATGGCTGTTGTGAATAGCCTTGTACCATGTGACCTCTGTGATCATTCACAGATTTCACACATAGTAAGCAATGATGTCAGAAGTGATATCTTGCGTACACCTATTCCTGTGATCACTGATTGGCCAATCAGTGATTACATGATCGGGACCTCACACAGAGGTCCCGTACAGCAATCGGTGTTCTGCTGTGTCCAGGGGACACAGCAGGCACCGGATCGCGGTGCCGTACGCTCCCAGGGAGTGAGCACAGTCCAAGATAGCGGGCGCCATTTATGAATGGCAACCCGTCACTGCACTGCCACCATCTGGCCGTTAATATACAATGGCCGGACGGGAAGTGGTTAATGTGATGTGACATCCCTAATCCCTATAGACACAGGAAAAGACTATCTACAAGTGTGGGGGGGGGGGCGGGAAAAGGTAAGGCTGGAGATCAGCTTCAAAGCTGTAAAGATTGTTGTTTTAAAGACTGTTCCATTGTATTCTTCCAAGCCAGTCAAATTCTATCTTTCATTCTTTCATTTTTTAAAGCTTAACTGAACTGTCATGTGTCCCAGAAGATTACTGGGAGGGAGGGGGAAGGACAACTCAGCGGAAGTGGAAGCGGGTACCTGTCCGCAAATTCAAAGGTCCGCAGTCTCTGATCTTCTGTACTATGTCCGCAGTCTCTGGTCATCTCCTGTAATATGCCCGCAGTCTCTGGTCATCTCCTGTACTGTGTCCGCAGTCTCTGGTCATCTCCTGTACTGTGTCCGCAGTCTCTGGTCATCTCCTGTACTGTGTCCGCAGTCTCTGGTCATCTCCTGTACTGTGTCCGCAGTCTCTGGTCTTCTGTAATGTGTCCGCAGTCTCTGGTCTTCTGTAATGTGTCCGCAGTCTCTGGTCATCTCCTGTGCTGTGTCCGCAGTCTGTGGTCATCTCCTGTGCTGTGTCCTCAGTCTCTGGTCATCTCCTGTGCTGTGTCCGCAGTCTCTGGTCATCTCCTGTGCTGTGCTGTGTCCGCAGTCTCTGGTCATCTCCTGTGCTGTGTCCGCAGTCTCTGGTCATCTCCTGTGCTGTGTCCGCAGTCTCTGTCTCTGCTCATCTCCTGTGCTGTGTCCGCAGTCTCTGCTCATCTCCTGTGCTGTGTCCGCAGTCTCTGCTCATCTCCTGTGCTGTGTCCGCAGTCTCTGCTCATCTCCTGTGCTGTGTCCGCAGTCTCTGGTCATCCCCTGTGCTGTGTCCGCAGTCTCTGGTCATCCCTGTGCTGTGTCCGCAGTCTCTGCTCATCTCCTGTGCTGTGTCCGCAGTCTCTGGTCATCTCCTGTGCTGTGTCCGCAGTCTCTGCTCATCCCCTGTGCTGTGTCCGCAGTCTCTGGTCATCCCCTGTACTGTGTCCGCAGTCTCTGGTCATCTCCTGTACTATGTCCGCAGTCTCTGGTCATCTCCTGTACTGTGTCCGCAGTCTCTGGTCATCTCCTGTAGTGTGTCCACAGTCTCTGGTCATCTCCTGTACTGTGTCCGCAGTCTCTGGTCATCTCCTGTACTGTGTCCGCAGTCTCTGGTCATCTCCTGTACTGTGTCCGCAGTCTCTGGTCATCTCCTGTACTGTGTCCGCAGTCTCTGGTCATCTCCTGTACTTTGTCCGCAGTCATTGGTCATCTCCTGTACTATGTCCGCAGTCTCTGGTCCATCTCCTGTACTGTGTCCGCAGTCTCTGGTCATTCCCATACTGTGTCCGCAGTCTCTGGTTATCTCATATACTGTGTCCGCAGTCTCTGGTCATCTCTTGTACTGTCTGCAGTCTCTGTTCAGCTCCTGTACTGTCCGCAGTCTCTGGTCATCTCCTGTGCTATGTCCGCAGTCTCTGGTCATCTCCTGTGCTATGTCCGCAGTCTCTGGTCATCTCCTGTGCTATGTCCACAGTCTCTGGTCATCTCCTGTGCTGTACATCTCCTGTGCTATGTCCACAGTCTCTGGTCATCTCCTCTACTATGTCTGCAGTCTTGGTCATCTCCTGTAGTATGTCCGCAGTCTTTGGTCATCTCCTGTAGTATGTCCGCAGTCTCTGGTCATCTCCTGTACTATGTCCACAGTCTCTGGTCATTTCCTGTACTATGTCTGCAGTCCATTGGTTCAGAATATTTTTTTTCCTGTTTTCCTCCTCTAAAATCTAGGTGCGTCTTATGGTCAGGTGCGTATTGGCTAAAAATACGGTAATATACACTTCTTGGGATTTTTTTTTTTCACCAAAGACATGTATTAGAAGACATTTTGGCCTAAATTTATGAAATTTTTTTTTTCATTTGGTTATGTTTTATAGCCAAAAGTAAAAAATTTTGTTTTTTTTAAACTTTAATTAAACATTAAAAAACCCAGTGGTGATCAAATACCACCAAAGAAATCTCTATTTGCGTGAAAAAAAATGATAATAATTTCATTTGTGTACATTGTTGCATGACCGCGCAATTGTCAGTTAAAATAGCGCAGCGCCGTATAGAGGAAAATGGCCTGGTCATGAAGGGGGGGGGGGGGGGGTAAATCTTTCAGAGGGCAAGTGGTTAAGCTTCAAAATGAACTTTAGGAGATGTAAATGACACATGATAATGCAAATTTGTATTAGCTCATTGGTGCACTGCTTCTCGTTGCTGACACTGCAGTAGAAAACGTTCAGTTTCCCTCCCTTGCCAAGCAGAACTGTGCTGTGTGGCCAACCTGTGTAAATTGCAGGATTGGATGAAAAGAAACAGCTCCTTTATATTTATTTTATGTTTAAACAATCTTTTTTTGCGTATAGTTCATTACTGTTTGTGTAAATATATATGTGGGTGTGGGCGAGTGCAACTGCTCTTGAACCCGTTCCAGCTCAGGCCCTCAGGACATTCTTTAAATCCAGCAGAGTACTAACAGCATGGAGCCCACAGGATCCTGGGATACACTCACACCCATTCTAGGTGTAGCTGGCAATGGACTTCACTATAACCCCAATGTATAGGGCCTTTTCCAAGAGACGTCCCTATTTAGATGAGAGGAAGGAGCAGTCCACACGAGAGTTTTAAAAAGTTCAAGGTACCGTTCAGGCTCCCAAAGGGTGGCGGCACACAGTTTAAAGTACCAAACAGTTTGTAAGCAATATACAGAGAGAGCAATGAAAGTCAGAGATCACACAGTCCAGAGAGCAGAGATAAGATGAGTAGCCCCAATATTTTCAAGTCCTCCAGCCTCCTCTTCTGGCATCCTCACAGGGAGAAGTTACCGATATAGGCTCCCTACTTACATGCTGACCTGTCCTGTTACATTCACAAAATGTAAAAAAAGTAATCTATGTCCTTCTGGCAACAACCAACTAACCAACCCAACCAGCTGCACACCTTCCAAATATAACCTTACCCAGGTTGCTCTTCTCCTAGCAGAGCTCGTACGTAACCCACATGGTTCTCATTCCCCAGCTATTGAGGCATCAAATGACCAACCAGGGGAACTACCACAGGCCACATCCATGCCCTACCCTACAACTGGGGTTCTGGCAAGGGTGTCTCCTTTGCCTACATGTCTTTTGCTACAAGGTGTGTCTCTCTTTTAACCATTTGTCCTCCTGAGGATTTACCCCCCTTCCTAACCAGGGAATTTTTTTTGCGTTATGGTGCTGCGTTACTTTAACTGACAATTGCGCGGTCATGCAAAGCTGCACCCAACTGAAATTTACGTACTTTTTTTCTTTTGGTGATAATTGATTGCCTGTGCATTATTTTTTTTCGCTATAAAAAAAAAAGACGTTTGAGGAAAAAACAATAGTTTGACTTTTTGTTATTAAACATATCCAGTAAAAATATTTAAAACATCAAATTTTGTCAAAAATTTAGGCCAAAATGTATTCTGCTCCAAATATGTGTAAATTAATTGGGTTACGTGAAAGTTATAGTATTTACAAATGGCGGTATATATACTGGGTTTTTTAATTTTATTTTTGATTTTTACTAGTAATGGCGGTGATCAGCGACTTATAGCGAAACTGCAGCGGACATTCTGACACTGGGGGGAACTGACTTGGTGTAACTGACATCCCCAGTGACACCAATACAGTGATCAGTGCTAAAAAAAAAGTACTGACACTCTACTAATGGAACTGGGCAGAAAGGGGTTAACATGAGGGGCGATCAAAGGGTTAACTGTGTGCAGAGAGTGTTTTTCTAGGGGGTGGGGGGGTGTGCTTCACTGTAATCACACTTCTCTGGATGGTTGTGCTGTGCACAGCCATCGGAAGCAGTGTGTCCCAGCTGACAGGGAGGAGAACTGTTAGTAAACAAAACAGTTCTCCTCCCCATCGGAGATCTTAAAAATTCACTGGGCGCCAGAAAGTAATTACCAGCCGGGACCCGGTGATTGACAGCCATGGCCGTGAACGCAAAATCATATATATATATATATATATATTACACGTGATTTTGCGCACCTGTGCCACCCTGTGGCAGTATTTCTGCTAAAGGGAAGTCAGGAAGCGGTTAAAATGACAGAAAATCTGCATGTAATTACAGATACACAACTGAATGCTCTAGGTTAGGTTAACAACCTTGAAATGACACAAAGCACATGCATGGATGTGCATTTTTATGAGTGCCATCATTATTTGCATTAGGATAGCTCTTTTTTTCAGAATGCAGCACACCACAGTGCATTGTGGCACGCTGCAACACTCGTGCGTTGTGGTGCTATTAAGAATGAATAGCACTGCAGCACACCTACAATAAAACACACAGCGCACAGATATAAACAAAGCTTCATGCTTCATGTATTTACTAATACTGATATAATGGTATACTAATATATATATTTGTCAAAATATATTTGGCAGATTTTATAGACCTGTGACAAGGATGGTTCCCCACTACGTTTTATATAAGTGGTCTGTGAAGTGAAAAAGTCAGACAATGTTGGAGATGCAGAGTTAGGCTGGCCATACATGGATCGATTTTCGTTTGAAAATCAGACCTAAGAATAATCGGCTGATTTTCGCTCTGTTAGCAGGGCAGTGGCACTGGCCGATTTTTGTGGTTCCTCCCCATTTCGTTTATTGGGCATGCTGGAAAATTCGTGGAAAAACGACCTATTTTCTAAATCATTGGTGGCACCATCGGATTATAGAACGAACAATGTTTTCGATCGTTTGGAATTTGACCCATGTATGGCCTGCTTTAGTATGAGGTCATTGACCAGGTCCCCAGGAGCTGAAAGTGTTTGTTTGGATCTCTCTGAACTTAGTCAGATGTTCTTTTATGTGTCTGACGTAAAGACATTTCCAGCAAACGTTTTGCTGTCCAGAGATATGAAAACATGCCACAGAAGTATGTAGTACAGGAATCTCCTGAGC